AAGCAGCCTCAGATCAATGTAGTGCCCGTTCGGTGATTTTCCTGTAACAGTCAGAAAGCGCAGTCGATAAGGGAATGGACGTGAACCAGTCCCATGCACTCTTTCTACCTCCAGCTCCCAAGTAGGGCAGCATTCAAATGACAACTAACTCCCCCCCCCCCCCCCCCCAACGACAACAGAAAACAGCTTTTTAAGAGCACTTATCTTGACCCTGCTCTCAAAGAGGATGCGTAATTACCTGTAATATCTCCGCCACTGTGAGCTTCGTTTTCACTAGCAGCTGGCGACTTTCTTTGGCTTTTGACGAATCTTCGATATTGGTCTTATCTGATGGCTTTATAACACCGTCGCCAATCTTTCTTGGTACCAGTTCCAATTACAGACTGGGTAACCCGGTGAATCATGGTCATCCCATGGGACACGGTACGAGCTGAAAAGACGAGATCAGGGGGTCATTTCTCGGAAATCTTGTACGAGCCAACTTCTACCTGTTTTGGCTCTGTGAGGGCTGTTGTCGACAATATTGAGAAGATTTTTCGTGAGTGTCAGCAAATTGTCGAAGGTGTAGTAGCCGAATTGCGCCAGCGCTTTGGCCAGCGTTACCATCTGAAACATAAAATGTTGAAGCCCAGGATGCCTGGACGAGTATCTACATTTCTGGAGTGGAGATGTGCATTGGCAGCAGGCACGCCTTGTCGCTGAGAAGCTGCCTGTCCCCATCCACTAACCATCTTCTCAAATTTTTGCCTACTTCCTACTACTTTTCCGGTGATCTTGCTCCAAACTCTTTCTCTGCAAAAAGCTGCCATAAAAGATGGTAAACAGGAAAATCGAGAAGGGTCCACAACGTAAAACGTTTTTCCCAGAAGCGAATACCCCCCACTTCCTACACCAACCAACTACGAGCCCCCCCCTCGCTGTGGATCACCCACAACGCGCCCCGAGGGCTAGCAGACTGGCTTGGCGCTGTTGCTGCTTCACTGGTGTAAAAGCACTGTGCCTTATTCCCTGAGCGGGGAGTGACAGAACGTAATTACATCATTTTCCAATTAATAGCTCCAGAAGGGAGGCGGGGGTAGTGAAGCGGCAAGTGGCATGCTCACCACGTGCGCGGTGAGGGGTTCAAATCTCGGATCGGCTCCCGCCCTGGTCAAAAAGCCTTCTACTGTTAGGGGGCGGTAAATTGGCACCAGATTCGTCTGGGAGGATAAGAACACTGACTTGTACATCGGCTGGCCCCCGCAAGTCATTGTATAGGCCACATCGCATTCAATAAGCCACTACGATTCTGAATGGAAGTAGAATGCGTGCCGCATCCCAAAGGGATTGATCAACGGCGAAGACTTTATCCTTTATCTTTTAGCTCTAGAATTTTGCTCCGCCTTGAAGCCAACGCACCCCTGGCTTTGAACGTTGATAACCCACCTCGTACGTAAGTTTATTACGAGCAACACTGGCTGCGTCTTTGTGCAGTACTGGACCAGATTGGTAGCTGTCTCGCAACGAATTCAGGTAGTCCTCGACTGTGTTCAGTACCTTCAAGTAGAATTAGTTATATAATAGATGTAGCAGTAGAAAAAATGAGCAAGAATTTGGAGTAGTTGAGAGGGCAGGACTTGATCCTTTTAGCTTAGTTGGAGAAGTTTGGACTTCAAAAATTTAAAGTGTGGAGTGCTCATAGAGCTGCATTCGCGGTGCTCATATATGCACCACGCGCGCGGTTGCGTAGCGGTACTGGTGCGACGCGACCGCGCGCGGCAACATTTCTGCCATGTATTATTCTGTAATGCTCCGTAAACGACGTGTGGTACAGCAGAACACTTCAAAGCTTACATCAGTTGCGAATTTGTCTCCAACTCGAGATCGACCGCCGTCACCGTAACCTTCGACGGAAGTGGTTTTGTATCTAAATATTTTTTCTTTTGAGCAGTACTCTACTTTTTCCAGGGCAGGACTCACGATTGCACTTTAACCTCGCTGGTTATGTCTGTCCACAGGCGAGCGTGGCGGATGGCGCTCAACGGACTTCCACGGACCACATGCAAGTGCAACATGAGACGAGCAAACGATGCACGCACCTCACACGGCAACCGAGAGTCCGACATACATCTGAATAAGGTGGGTCCTGAGCGGAAATCGCGGCAATTTTACAGAAATTATCACCTCAGGACAAGTTCAGCTGGTAGTTGTTGAGAAATGTTCAGGAGCTTGCGTTCAGGGGGCGGATCTATGGCTAAGTACTGTTGTTCCTGGCACATTTGTGCCAATAGATCCAACTGGTGCCTAAAATGCAACTTCTTATGAATTATGTCTTTCAAAAGGGCCTAAATGGGTGAGAAATACAAAATAGTAGAAATGTCATATTTTCGAGCAAAGACCTTGCCAAAAATGACTATTTGCAATATTCCCATAGATCAAAGGAACAGAGCGATCAACGTGGATCACTCCCTTTGCGATAAGCCTTGCTTTCAGCAACTATACGATATTACAAAGGCAACCGCATGCACACCGAGGGCGCAATTCGACTTGGGGGGGGGCACCAAATGATACTCAGCGACACTGAAACCTGTACAGGCAACCTTGGAACACCCGTAAATTCAATTAAACAAAGCGGCTCATTTATAGCTTAACATTTAGACCTGTTTGTTAACATGAGCTGGCAAAATGCCCCTCACTAGCCAAACAACGCCCACACCGAGTTCATGCGTGATCAAGATTTTAGTCAAGAGGTGTCCTACAGATCGTGGATTTCACCTTCCTGGATGTACTAGGGGTTTGAATAAATGTTCCCGAAATTATGAACGTGAAATCCGCTTGAATTTATATATGTAGGTGGTGTGACAGACGCCGCAAACCAGGCATACAGTCCCGCCAGGCATGCTCTCCCCTTGTCCCAACTTTTGACAGCGGGTTGTATGCAAGGCGCGCCCGGGGCTCATCATTGTATGGACACATCAGAAGTTCAATATCGCTATAATCAACATTTTCAGAAAGTACCTGTAATAATCCAAGAAGTCTGCATCAGCAGTAATTTTCTTAGAGCTCTCAGCCAATTCGACCAGCTTCCGCAATGGTTGGCCTAACCATCCGATGTGACGTCTCATTGACCTCAAGTCACCATAGTGATTAGAAGACCCCGGGATTTTGCCGTCGTTCATAAGGCTGCGTTCATACTTCTGGGCGACTTGAGTGGGCTAGAGTGTAGCGCGATCATATGACATTCATTGCGGTTTGTTATTGTCCAACCGTGCTCATATAATGATAATCTGTTTGACAGCTGCAACAGTAAATCAACGTTCAACGGGATCAGGATGCGAGAGTTCTTGACCTGAAATCCAGCTAACAAAATTTTTTTGAATAAAACGTGGTCGCGAGTCGCGGGTGTGACGGGCACAATGCTGACGATGTTGATTCCACTGCATCCAAAATATAATCTATGAGAGACGCAGTGATTATCAGCCCTTCTAAACTTAACCCGTCTTCGTTTCCAATTAGTATGTGTCGCGATGTTTGTCACTAGATACTACAGAGTTACACGATTAATAATCACCTGAAGCTCTTTTATTGTTGGGCTTCACCGTGCATTACCCAGATCGGCTAGTAGTCATACCGGCAAGCTGAGATTCGGAAACAGATAAAACGGAAAAATTAGGTTGATAAAGGATCGGATATCGGGACGAGGATTTTACGAATGCACAGCCAACGAAGTTGGGTAGTGATACCAGCCGAATGCCAACCGGGTTCCGTTTTGTGACCATGTATTGGAATGTGACACTGGTCAGCAGCCCGGTGCGCGGAGTTCGCAGATGACCTCAAACTAAGTTTCAAGCGTGCATGGGAGCGGAATAGAGTAACGAGGACGAGCTGGGGAGGGGAACCTTAAGGCTGTACAACCTATGGTTACAGTTGTGGTATGTACCTGCACCTATGGTTTAGTGTTCTCGAAAAAGTTTCTGAACGTGTTGAGCCATGCACAGATTCTGTTCTGAGGAATGTGACAAGAGGATCGTAATTCGCCGCGCTGGTGAGCGCTCGCGTGCGACGTCGCGCCTAAATGACGATGGTTCCAGGTCGTAGATGGCGACAACAGGCAGTTCAGAACCGAAAAAGGTCATGAATGTCTATGATGACGGGGTATACATGAAGTCCGGTACTGCAGTCGACAGGTTAACACGAGTTAAGAAAACGCCGCGCCGATCGCTGCGCGCGGGAAAACGCCGCGCCGATCGCTGCGCGCGGCGGAGCGGCTGATCACGATTCTTTTGCCCGTCTCCCTCTGTTCTCTGATGATACCGTTTCCCACAAAAGGCCGAGGCATATTAAAATGCAATAAAGCCCTGCATCTAGTCGCAGAGAATCTTGCATTGCGCGCATAAGTCTCATGGGAGGATGAGTTGCACCTAACGATGAGCCTCTGCAAAGTAGCTTTCCACGCTCATCGTGTGGGCGGAGTCATTGAACCACTGCGCCTTTCCCAGACTCGACTTCTACTAAAAACAAACCTATTAGTGAGGAAACGCGATGGACTCCGACCATACAAACAGCGCGGAATGAGGATAGTGGAAGCATGGGGTTGCAGGTCATGGTGCTCACAAAAGAGGAACCGGTTCTTGACATTAAGTGCATTGTCTCTGGAGTGAGAAACATAGCCCAAGCTTTTCACCCGGGAAAAACTTGGCCCAATTTTCAGCAGCGGACATATCTTCAGGTGCGAAGGGAAACGGAGAACTGGCAACTGCTGAAATGCAACTTCTCGAGGACGGATAGCTCACAGGAGAGCCCCTTTTCTAGATTCCCAATTTCCGATTTCATATGGGAGTTACAGCTGTCGGCCGTTTTCTTCACAGGCGCTGGGGCGTGTTATGGGGGAGGGAGATTCGTCCGTTTTGCACCATTTGCTGTCACTTGCCCGCTTCAACAATTGGTGGAAGGGCTGGTGCCGACCACCTGATACGCCCGGACCTTTGGAGCGAGAACGACTATACATGTATCTTCAATCTGTTATATCCACTGAGCACTGCACAGCACTGCACATCACGACCACTGCACAATATTCGCTTACCCAAGAAAGATCAAAAATTTACCGCATTCCTTCGATAATGCAGAAAACTCTACAGAAGAAACAGTTTGGAAGAGATTAGGAGAACAAGACTGGATAGCGACCTACTTTCCCAATCGGTTATTCCGCACGAGCTCGACGAATCGCTCGACGTGCGGCGTTTTCACGTACTTCTCCAACAGTTTCGGATTGTTGTGCAGTACAGCCGTCATCGTATCTTCGGCGAGTAGATCGAAACCGATTTGTTCCTAAAGTTTATTGGGTTATAGT